CTCCGATTGCCTCAAAAAAAAAATGACTAGTTCTCTATTCATTCCTCCACTCTCATCCTCCACGTACACACCACAGAAGGAAAATTTTCAGTCAATACTCAGTTTTTTTTATTTTTTTCCCTGATATTAATAAATATAGCTTGGTTGGGGTTTATTTTTTCTGCAAGCCCGAGGAAAACTGAGGGAAAATGATTGGGGAGAAAGGGGGAATAGTTTGATGAAATTTGTTGAAATGCTTTCCTCATGACAACCTCATGTGGCCAGTTGTGTGAATATTAACCCCATTAAGCAGACAAGAATGCTGAGGCTTGGAGATGTTAAAATAACTCACAGAGTTGAAATTCCAACTCAAACCTCTCCTGACTCCAGATCCAGCATCCTTTTTATTTGGGTTATTTGTGCAGTTGTCACTTTGACGGATCCCTGTCGTGTACTATCTCCTGTGATGCAGACTGTTCTCATCCATGCCTGCTTATCCGAGGCAATTCTTGTCCATATCTTCCCCAAATCATCACCACATCAGGGAGGCTGCCTCTAGCACTCCTTACAGTGTGTGGATGCCAGTGGGGCAAGCAGACTCTGTCCAGTGGTCATCCCTGGCTTTTGCTGCAGCATTACCCCATCTTCTTTTTTTTCTGACTGTACATTTCTCTGGTAGTTTCATTTTTTGAACAGTATTTTCTCTGTAATTCTTCATTTTAATGGGCTGCAGCCTGCTCACACCCACCAACCAATTCTCCATTGCCCTTTGTGTGATACTTACCTTTAATTCTTTTGGACACTGTGGTATCCGATGACTCATTGCTACACATCACTGGAAGAATATTTGCGCTTAAAAAAAAAAAGGTGGGTCTTTGTCTCAAGAAGTCTGATGTCCTTAAAAGCACCATGAAATTCCCCAAAGATATCCAGCATGCTCCCTTCTCTCTTCTCCATTTTAGGCCCAGTTTCTTGTCCATTCGTGTCAGTTCACACGACTTTGATTATCATTTCTATGCTGATGACTCTTAGAGCTATCTATTTAGCCCATGTCTCTGTCCTGAGCTCCAGAGCTTGGACTTAAAATGTTCAAAACAACCCTTTATTTTTTTTTTTAATCTCAGCTTCCCCCACCCCATGAACTTCCCTACATCTGTCAAAAGCATCACCATACTTGCTGTCACCATCTTGGTTCCATTCTCCACTCCTCAGTCTGTCTTGCCATCTTACCTAATCATTTGTCACCCTGTTCTCTCTTCTTAACATTTCTTATACACAATCTTCTTCTCTCCATTCATAGTCATAACCTCGGTTCACTCCCTACCTCAAGTCTCTCCCCACTCCAGTGCATCTTCACAAGACTGCCAAAGGGATCTTCCTAATGCATGGGTATGACTATGTTACTATTCAATAAACTCCACCTCATTACTTCAAAGATCAAATATAGATGCTTCTGGAATTTAGAATCCTTCACAGTCTTCCCCCATCTTACCTTTCCAACCTTATCATGCATCTCAGTCCTTCATGGACACTACAATCCCACCAAACTGGCTTTTTTACTGTTCTATTCTTTACGCTGGCTTTCCCCAAGCTGGGGGTACATACAGTGTTTGGCAAAAAGTAGGTACTTCATAATATTTGCTGATTGATTAGTTAATTATAAACAGTTAGGTGGTGCAGTGGATAGAGTGCAGGACTCAGAGGCAGAAAAAGACTGAGTTGCAATTCTGCCTCAGGTATTGTGACCCTGAGCAAGACATTCAACTTCTCTCGGTCTCAGTTTCCTCACCTGTAAAATGGAAATAATAAGTAGCCCCTATCTCACAGGGTTGTTGTGAGTATCCAGTGAGTTAACATATCTAAAGTGCTTTGCAAATCTTATAAATGCTAGCTATTATTTTTATTATTGTTACTATTAATTGACCTATGCAAGATACATGAACTGATTGATGGATAAGCTCTATGGATGTCCCTCCATCCAAATAAATATCTTTTCCACTCCCTCACTGTGTTGATTGTTAGTCTGAACTCTTTTGAGTGATTATCAGGGACAGTGCTGGGGTTACAAGGACAACAAATTAACCACTTCCTATTCTCAAGGAGTGGGCACCCTATATGCAGCAAGGGAAGACATGATGTGTAATGGAAATTTTGTGGTTATTATGATAGTGAGATAGATACACACACATATGTAATTAATCAGATCCATCTATATGTATATAGACATAAACATATACACATACAAATGTACCCATATACATATAAACACACACACACACACACTCACACACACACACAAACACCCGGTTGCAGGGCTAAACCAACTATTACTTTGTGGTATTTGCTGATTGCTGGTTGACAGACTGAGGCAAGCCAGTGTGATCAAAGGTCTCCATCTTGGTATAATGGGGAAGGCCATGGATTTGGAGACAGACAACCAAGTTTGAACCTTGGCTTTGTTACTCACTGGCCGTGGGAACTTAGGTGTTGCTTTTCCTCTCTGTGCTTCAGTTTTCTCACCAGCAAAATGAATAGGTTGGACCGGATGACTTCTACAATAATTTCCAACTCTAAATCTATTGTTCTAAAGTATGACTAGACCGGTTCTACTGTTAAACTTACAGACACAACCTGTTTCACCTAACAAATGGCTTAATAATTCTCCAATTGGCCCGAAGATAAGATATCACCCACTCACCTCCTTTTCAGACTGGAGAAATAAAAATCCATCATCTATATTAAACATCCATAAGAAAAATGTCTCTTTTCTGCGGGGAGCTTTTCTTCAGTCTGGGCCCTACTTTTGAAGAGGCTAGAGATTCCCTCCTGTCCCCTTTTACTCCAATTTCTGATGCTTTGTTCCTTTGTGCTCACAGACACAGCTGGGGAAATAAAACTTTGTCCTTGGGGAGACAGAGGTAAAGACTTTGTGATAGTATTCAATCAATTAAACAACCTTCATTTATTAAACATCTACTATGTGCTAGGTACAGTGCTAAGCACTAGGGATTAAAAGGGAGACAGTCCCGGCCCTCAAGGAATTTCCATTCTACTGGGGTGGGAGGAGCATAACATGTGACAGAGATAAGTAAGTAAAGGCTCTATGGGCAGCTAGGTGGTGCAGCGGATAAAGTGCTGGGCCTGGAGTTGGGAAAAACTCATCTTCCTGAGTTCAAATCCGGCCTCAAATACTTACTAGCTGTGTGACCCTGGGCAGGTCACTTAACTCTGCCTCAGTTTCCTAATCTGTAAAATGAGCTGGAGAAAGAAATGGCAAATTACTCCAATATCTTTGCCAAGAAAAACTCAAAAGGAGTCAGGAAGAGTCAGAAATGACTGAAAAATGATTAAACAGCAACAAAATGAAGGCTATATAAAAAATCAATACGCAGGGATCGAAAATACATGTGTATGTACATATATACAAAATCAGTCAGTCAATGAATAAACATTTATTAAGGACCTACCAGGTAACAGGCACTGTGCTAAGCAACATGGATACAAAGAAAGGCAAAAAATGAGCCACAATCTAATGGAGGAAAGACAATGCATGAAAGAAGTCCTTCATTCAGGTGGGAAATATTGAGATGGCTACCCTGGGGCCCCTCCTTAAATAGAGGATCTGGAAGGAGCCCTCCACTAGCTGTGGAGGGACCCCAGGGGAAGGAAGGTACTGAGGAAGTGTAAATTTCAGAGCTGATGTGATCATGCAGAAAATGAGTTTCTGGGGACAATGATGATGATGTCCAGCAGAGCAGTCAATTGGGAAATGAAGGAAGATGTAAGTATATACAGAATCAAGACAAAATAAAATACATGGTAATTGAGAGAATAAAAGAAAACAAGAACCTACTATGTGCCAGGTACTATGCCAAGCACTTTACAAATATTATCTCATTTGTTCCTCACAATTCTGTGAGGTAGATGCTATTATTCCCATTTTGCAGTTGAGGAAATCAGGGCAGCCAGGTAGGATTGGATTTGAATTTGAGTTTTCCAGACTCTGGGCCCAGTTCATTATCCCCTGCCCCACACATGGAGAAGACAGTACTTGAACTGAATTTTGAAGGAAGTGAGGAATTCTTCAAGGTGGAGAAGGGGTAAGAATGCCTACATGGAATGAACACTGGCCAACGCAAAGCACCATGTCTGAGGAAGAGTAAGAGTTAGTTGGGTTGGACCATAGAATGTGGCAAAGAGAGTAATATACAATAGGGCTACAAATGTAGGCGGGATCAGGTTGTGAAAAGCTTAATAAACCAAAGAGGAGAGTATATATTTGGTCATAGAATAATAGGGAACCAATGAAGTTTATTGATTTGGGAAGTGACCTGGTCACATCTCATTAGATGTCAATGGAGACTTCTTCTAAGCCATCTCTGTATGTAAAAAGGCTATTTGTTCACTTCATTATCTAATTATTATCCAATATTATATTCTGGAAAACAAAAACAACAGCAAAAAGCTTCTCCTTTGCATGTAGGCTAATATAATACTAATCCATTTTTGAGACTTTTTTCATTGAATGATAGTAAATTGAGAGCAAGACTTGGAGTCAAAAACACTTGTATTCAAGTTTTACCTATGACACCTACTGACTATGTGCACCTGGACAACTTATTTAACCCCCCAGTGCTCTAGGCAATTGTCTAAGACTCTGAGTTGAAGAGTGGCTGCTATCCTTTATTGGTAGGGGAGTTTTCTAACCAAGGAGTTTCCTATACCAGTGAAATTACAGGATCTGACCCCATTCCTAACTAATTTCTATGCATAACACTTTCCTAGAAATCCTGAATTTTACCCTCTGTCATTAATTGTATGAGAATCTGGCATGGGCCAACCCTGATCAATAATCAACAAGCATTTAATAAAGATGTACTATGAAACAGGCGCCATGCCAAAGACTGGGGATACAAAACCAAAACTCAACCAAGAATTGAAGCCTGGTCTGATTTAGGCACTGTCTGGCTTCCTGAAGTATCAATCATCTAATGAATGTGAAATGAATGTTTTCACTGTAGAACAGGGATGTGGAATTTGTACATACTGGATATGGAAAGGATATGGTCAAAGTTCTCCACATCCAACGTGATGGCAAATACCACACCATTAAGGAAGTGGCAGCGTCGGTCCAGCTTACTTTGAGGACCAAGAAAGATTACCTCTTTGGAGACAACTCTGACATTATCCCCACAGACACTATCAAGAACACTGTCCATGTTCTGGCAAAATTCAAAGGGGTAAGTGAGTCTGCTTTGTGTTTTTGGGATATTCCGTCTTGGTTTGGTTTGTTTCTTTGTCCACTTGGGGTTCTCATGATTTTTTAGCATTTGATGCCTTGCATAAATCTGAAAAGATTTCTTTCTTTCCCTGTTCTGACCTAACATACCCCTCCATCTCTCCTTCCCTCCTTCCTTCTTTCCTTTCTTCTTTCCTTTCTTTCCTCTCTCCTCCCTCTTTCTTTCTCTCTTTCTTTCTCACTTTCTCTCTTTCTCTTCCTTCTCTCTTCCTTCCTTCCTTCCTTTCTTTTTCTTTCTTTCCTCTGAGTTCACTTCCAGATCAAAATACTTTGAGACTAAAAATGCAATGGGCTGCCTTGGGAGGTAATAGGCTTCTTCTTATTGTAGATCATAGCTTTGAATCTTAAAGGAACCTCAAAGGCCATTTCATCCAACCCTCTCATTTTACAGACGAGAAAACTGAGGTTCAGAGGGGTGGACCCTACCAAAATTCAAGCAGGCAATATGTTGCTGGGCTGGGCTTTGAAACAAGGTCCCCTGACTCCAAATCCAGCGTCCTTTCCACTGTGTTGCCCACGCATGACTACTTGCTGGGGATATCATGGAGGGAGTCAGGCAAAGCCTTGGCTAGATGAATGCTGAGATCCCTTCCAACCCTTAGATTCTGTTGTTCTGGGTGAGGTTTGGGGGAGATTATAATGCCATTCTTTCCAGAATCCTTTCCAATCCTCTCGTATTTTCTTTTTATTTTTTTTTTAAAGTAAGCACTCCAAATAGCTCTGTCAAGAATCCGTTCAAATCCTTTTATGATTTCCTACATTTTGTATTTTCTGAAGGCCATTAACCATCCCCTCCACTACCTCTTGCCTTCAGACCAAAAGAATGCTAAGGTATTCTACTTCAATCCTCCAATTCTTTGTTCCAATTGCTAAACTCTCCCTTCTCTCACTGCCATTAATTACTCATAAACTGCAAGAAACTATGCTCAGTACTAGATGAACTGGGGATACAATGGAAAGAGACCTGAATTTGGAATTGAAAGACCAGGTGTTGAATCTCAGCCCACGCCACTTAGCGATAATGTCGATAATGTCACACTTGGGTAATTCACAACCTTCTGAGCCTCAGTCTCCTGTGTACCTTACAGGGTTGTTTGGTGGCAAGTGTTCTGTAGCTAAGCTGCAAATTGTCCTACGAAACATGAGCTATTTGTACTTGAAGAGCACACTTGTCTGCTTGGCCTCAGAAGGACATGTATTTGGAGTTGTTTTCCTACTCATCCATCTCCACACTTTCTCCCTCAGAATGGGTTTCTGAGGGGGTGTTATTGAATGTCAAGGGAGAATTCTTTTTTTTTTTTTTTAAAGGACAGATTCTCATCTGTTAAAGATGGTTTACTAACCATTCTTGGCAACTCCAGTGGAGAAGGCTGAGGCTCAATTAGGGGACAGTCAACGGAGCCCTGAAGATGGAGGCAGAACACAAGGGACAGACCTGGTAGTTTTACTAAGTAGCTGTTTGTTCATGGGACAATTCCCTTATTCTTGCGGAGCCTCCATTTCCTCTTCCATAAAAAGAGAACAACAATATTTGTACCGTATGGGATTGTTGTCAGGAAATATTCAGTACTCACATTTTCAAGTAGATTGGAGGTGTCATGATTTGCATGTTCATAGCAATGACGCATAGAAGACAGGGACTTCAGTTGGAAAGACCTGGTTTCAAGTCTTACTTTTTCTAGATACTTACTAGATGAGTAGCAGCTAGATGGATAGAGCGTTGGGCTTGGAATCAGGAAGACTCATCTTCATGAGTTCAAATCCAGCTTCAGACACTTATTCACTGTGTGATCCTGGATAAGTCACTTAACCTTGTTTGCCTCAGTTTTCTCATCTGTAAAATGAACTGGATAAGCAAATGTCAAACTACTCTGGTATCTTTACCAAGAAAACCTCAGATGGAGCCATGAAGAGTCAGACACAACTGAAACGACTGAACAACAAAAGTTCTAAGATCCTAGGCAGGTCCCTTAACCACCTCTTAGCCTCAGTTTCCTCATCTGTAAAATGGAGTTGAACTCAATGTCCTCTAAGGTTCCTTTCACCTCTAAATCTAAGATCCTATAATCCATGAAGCACATTATAAACTATGTGTCTCTAGACTATGTCAGGAAAATGTTTTATAAATCATAAATTTAGAACTGGAAATGATCTTAGAGGTTATCTATTTTTACCCTCTACCCAGGGGGCATTTTTTAAAATGAAATTTTTTTTTCTTATTATGAGCTTTACTTTATTTTACAAAGAAAGAGCCTAAGGCTCAGGGAGATTGACTGGCTCATGATCATAATGTAGAAAATGATAGAAGTGGGATTTGAACCCAGGTTTACTGGCTCCAGAGCAAATGATACGTTCCACTGTACCACCATGCTAGTTCCTATGGGTTCTTATGACAACGAATTCACCCTCCTTCCAAAGTCCCTTCCAAGTCATTGTTTGCTTAACTCTAAGAAAGTTGTAGATCATTAATGTAGATTGTAATGGCAGCAGCTCTCTGATTATTGTTGTCACTGCTGTTGTGTACGTGGGACCACGCATTTGTGTCATTTGGTGTTTTGTTTCTCTTTGCAGATCAAAACCATAGAGACCTTTGCCATGGATATTTGCGAGCACTTCCTTTCTTCATTTAACCATGTTACTCGAGTCAAAGTCTATATTGAACAGGCTCCCTGGAAACGTTTGGAAAAGGTCAGCTCAATAAGTTGTATTTCTCAGTTTATGAATCTAAAACTATCTGTGTTATTCAGGCTCAGCTCATTCATCACCTGTTTCACAGGACCTTTGCTGGTCTTCTTGGCTGCCGGTGATTGCCTCTTTGTACTCCTTGCTATTTATGTATTTATTTTGTACATATTTATATGTATATTGTCCGTATGGTCTTGCTTGATAGAATGTGAGCTCCTTGAAGTTGGGAACTGTGCTTAGTGCAGTGTCTGGCACTTAGAAAATACACGTGGATTGATGCTAGAGATTTACTGGATATTTTTTCTCGTTTTCAGAATGGAAAGGAGCACGTCCATGCATTTATCAACACTCCCACTGGAACCCACTTCTGTGAAGTTGAGCAGTATCCAAATGGTGAGAAAGGACTTCTCTATCTATCTCTTTGGTATTGTGGTAGCATTTCTTTTTTTCTCCCTAGACTCTTCTGTTCCTTAACACTGAGACCAAGCATGGAGAATGCAGAAGGTTACCTTCACTTGAGATGGAAACTTACACTCTAGCTTGGCATTCTATTAAAGGAGTACTTATCTCACAGAATCCCGAAATCTTAGCGTTGGAAGAGACCTTAGAAACCATCTGGCCCAAGCTAAATCTAAAACAGAATCCCCATTATGACATACTCAATGAATAGTCTGCTAGCCTTTTAGGGCAGATCTCTAGTGAACAAGAACCCACCATCTTACTTTTGGATAGTTCTAATTATTAGAAATTGTATTTATGGAATCCTAAATTTGCCTCTTGGTTACTTTAACTGTTGTTCCTAGTCCTTCCTCTCTGGGTCCAAGCAGAAGAAACCTATCTCTTCCCTAAGGACAGCTTTGGCTCTATGAAGCCAGCAGTGGAGAAAAGAGTGGAAGCTTGAATGATCTGCGTTTTGGTTAAGACTTTTAGAAAGCTGGAGCTCTTTGGGTGGTAAATTGTAAAGACAAGAGGTTCCAGGAAGGCTCCACTGCCTTCTAGGCTTCTGTGTGGTAAGAGCTCTAGGACAGCGCTTCTTGGACATGGAAACCATAGATTTGAAGAAGTCTATATATTTAAAGGATCTATAATCTTCATATATATATGCATACACACACATAAATTGTCTGATCTATTTATCTACAAAATGCATACATACATATATACATATATATGTATATAGGGTGTAGGGATAGGGATTGGATCTGTGATTTCATTGATATAAGCAACTCTCAGACAAGGGAATTCTTTCTACCAATGAAGGTTGATGCTTTCTCTACAACTTATATTCTTAGTGAGTCATCTAGAGCCCTAAGAGGTTAAATGACTTGGCTAAGGCCACACAGCCAGGATGTATGAGAGGTGGGGCTTAAACCCAGGTCTTCCCACTCTGAGGCTACTTCTTTATACATAACACCACATAGCCTCTCACTAAATAGACTCCTAAATACCAATAATCCTGTCACTTCTCTCTCCATAACACCTCTCATATGTCACCTTCTCTCTACTCACTCAGCTTCAACCCTACTCTAGGTCTTCATTACCTCTCACATTGTTAATTTTCTTATCCTCTGATGAGCTTCCCTGCCTTATCATCTCTTCCCTCTCCTCCTCCACACACAATCTATCCTCCACACAGCTGCCAAAGTACAGGTCCCAAAGTCATGTCACAACCCTACCCAATAAACCCCAGTGGTTCATTATTACTTGTAGAGTCAAATATGAACTCCTCTTTTTGGAATTTAAAGCTTTTTACAACCTGTCCCCTTCTTAACTCTCTCCACACGCTCTGCCACCCAGTCATTGATATTAAATTAAATTCAGTTAAATAGCAACAAGGATAATTGCATAATTCCCGCTGTTTATCCCAAAATTTGCAAGTTAAATACAGAAAATGATTAATTACAACAACTTGGACCTCATTATAACTTATAAAAAGAAAAACAAATATTAGTAAACAATTTTGCACAATGTTAGCAGGCTATGTGTCCTTGAAAATCTCTAGCATCTCAGCCACCCTTTTATGGTCCTCACTTGCTGTTCTAAGTGATAGAAAACAGCTGATACCTTCTTCAGATGTGGCCAACAGTTAGAGAAGCCAGGTATCTGAGAGGTGCTCAGTAATTATAGGCTAGGTTGGGTTAAAAAGACCTCTCCAGGGTTTGTGATCACATGATAACATAACACTTGGCTAAGGACGTTTGTTAGAGAAAATCACAGAAATATTCTTTCTGATGATTTCAAACCCTCTTTATTTATTCATCAGCTTGAAACATCTGCTTTAGTGGAAGGGGGAAGTCCTTCCTTATCATAATAATGATCAATTTGAAACCAAATTCCAGTAATTGATGGGATGCTTAGCAAGTCCCCACTGTATCCCTAGAAGCTGAAAAACACTGTTGAAGTTATGGTCAGAGCTCAGGTGGCGTTGGGAGTAGGGCAGACAACAAAGCTGAATGTTTACTAAAAAAGACAATGGCAATTCTTTGTTTCCCTTGGTTGGGCTCACTGGACATGGGAAGGAGTTAGTTTTTGCTCTGCCCTCCTCTGGAAAGAAGTGCAGGAGGAAAATTAAGACCTGGGAATTGGGGTGGGCTTCCACCCAAAGGAGTGAGTAGCATAGCACAGAAGGCACCTTGGATTTCATTAAGAGAGTCATAGAGGCTGGTACGAGAAGAGGTGTGTGTGTGTGTGTGTGTGTGTGTGTGTGTGTGTGTTTGTGTGCGACAATTCCCCTACACTCTATTCTGAGTCAGACTAAACCTGGCGTATTGTGTTCAGTTCTGGGCAACACATTTTAGGAGGTACATGAACAAGCTGGAATTTATCTGGGGTAGTGTAGAGAACTGAAATCATTCTCCATAATGCTTGATGGAAAGAACTGGAGTTGTTTGACCTGAAGAAGAGATGATGGTGGGGAGCAGGATCAGCACTAGTCGATCAGTAAGCATTTATGAAGCACCTGCTGTATGCCAGGGGCTGGCCCAGTGGGGGGCATCCAAAGACAAAATGAAGCAGTCTCTGCCCTTCAGGACCTTACGAAGAAGGGAGACAGCATAGACATCCATAAGTAAACATGAAATACATAGCAAAAAGATAGGAAAAGTAAAACAAAATGACTTTTTGGTGGTGGAGGGAAGCACCAGCAGCTAGTGGGAATGAGAAAGAGTCATATTTAGGAGGTAACATTTGAACTGAGTTTTGAAGGATAAAATGGTTTAATATTTATAAAGTGCTTTGCAAGTCTTAAAAACATTATATAAATGTTGATGATTATAATCATAATGATAATAACAATTATTTCCCCAATAATTATTATTATCAAGGTAACTGTATTATTATTGAAAACAAGAATTTTATGATGTAGAAGTGAGGACAGAATATATTCCAGATGAGGATATGGAAGATGGGATGTGAGGAACAGTTAGAAGATTAATTTGCCTGGACTTTAGAGTGCAGAAGTGGGAGTAATGTGTAATAATGCTGAAAGATAGGATGGAGCCAGGTTGTGAAGGACTTTAAATGTCAGATAGAATAGGGTGGCCATCTAGGTGAAGAAATGGAGAGAGAATTAGGTTTAGAATCAGGAAGACTCACCTTCCTGACTTCAATCCAGCTTCAGACATTTGCTAACTGTGTGACCCTGGGCAAGTTACTAAACCCTGTTTGCCTCAATTTCCCCATCTGTAAAATGAGCTGGAGGAGGAAATCGCAAACCACTCCAGTACCTCTGCCAAGAAAACCCCCTAAATGGGGTCATAAAGAGTCAGATATGACTGAAACAACAACAAGCATAGTTTGTATTTTATCATGGAGGCACTAGAGTTTCTTGATCAGGGGAATGATATGGTCAGACACACACTTTTAGAATATCACTTGTGGTTGTGTGAAGAATGGATTGGAGACAGGAGAGACTTGAGGCAGGGAGAACAACTAGAAGACTTTTGCAATAGCTCAGGAGAGGTGTCTGAACTAGGGTAGTGGTCATATGAGTGGAGAGAAGTGGACTGATGCAAGAGATATTGTGGAGACAGACTCAGCAAGACTTGGTAACTGATCGGATCTATGAGGTGATGGACAGTGAGTTGCTGAGGATGACTCCAAGAGAGATTGCTTGAAAGGGGGAGGATTGAGGAGGAAAGATAATGAGTTCTTCATCAATGGAGTTCCTTAAGTGGAGGTTAGATGGACCACATATCTGGAGTGTGATAAAGGGAATTCATGTTTCAATTGGGAGTTGTAAAAGGTAATCTCTGGGATCTCTTCCAACTTTGAGATTCTGTGATTCCAAGCCATCTGTTCTCCCCAAACTGAAAATTATCTTTCTTAAAATCACACTGGGGGGACATTATAGAAAGATATTAATATAAGGCAAATACGATTAAACATTCAAGTGAACAATGATATCTAATATTTATATAGTGCTTTCAGTCAGTCAATAAACATTTATTTAGATCCTACCATGTGCCAGGCACTGTGCTAAGCACTGGGGATATAAAAAGAGGCAAAAGACAGTCCCCGTCTTCAAGGAATTCACAATCTAATGGGGGAGACAAGAAGGAAAGAAATGTGTACAAACAAGCTGTATACGGGATAAACTGTAAATAATTAAGAAGGAAGGTAACAGAATTAAGAGGGGTTGAAAGAGGTTTCCTGTAGATGTTGGGATTTTAGCTGGAACTTGAAGGAAGCCGTGGAAGATGGTAGATGATTGTGGAGCAGGGCATTCCAGGTATGGGGGACAGCCAGAGAAAATGCCTGGAGCTGAGAGATGGAGTGTCTTCTTCATGGAATAGCCAGGTGGCCAGTGGTACTGGATTGAAGAGTACATGGTAGTCATTAAGGTATAAGAAGACTTGGAAAGGTAGGAAGGAGCTGTGGTATGAAGATATGAAGAGCTTTGAAGGTAAAGAAGAACTGCGGGAGGCAACAGGGGAGTTCATTGAATTTGTTACTTTAAGATTTATAAAGCATTTTAGGCACATTCTCCCATTTAATCCTCACGGCAATTCTGGGAGGTAGGTGCTTGTATCACCGCCCTTTTTTACAGGAGTGGAAAAGGAGGCTGAGAGATACTAAGTGATTTGCCCAGGGTCAAGGAGTGAGTAAGTATCTGAGGTAGGAATTTCACTCGAGTCTTCCTGATTCCAGGACCAATACACCATCCCCTAACCAATATTGCCTCTTAACCATCTAACGCACATCAACAACACGTATTAAATGCCTGCTTTGTGTACAATGCTATACTGAGGGAAATGCAAAGATGTATGCAATTGGATCCCTATCCGTAAGGAGCTTTCATCCTAGGAGAGGAGATAAAAAAGTACTGTGTGAGATCCAGAGAAGAAAAAAAATTTATCATAAATCATTCAAAAATATCAAAACCTGGGGCTTTG